ATCAACGGAAAAACATAAAGTAAACATCGAGGACAAGGAGGACATACCCCTTCGAACCTACCCCTGTGACAGCGCGACTGCTATAGGGCTTCTAGCAGAAGTTTTCCCTGCCCAGGGTACCCCCACTCTACGTAATTCCTACTCATATGCGTGTCCCCCACTCCAAAAATCCATGGATATTCTTCTTCTGGCCCTACTGCCGAGTCACCGGCACAGGCAGCTCGCCCAGCCATCAGAATCGACCGTGGCGCCCCACCTCTGTTGGGGTCTCACTTATTCTGGCTGTGACTGCTGTCGACTTGACCGACCCCTTTGGGATATCGACATTGCCGCCATCTCCCGGCATTCCCCCTACGGGACTTGTATTATCATTATATACACTCACATTAACTTTAATCAATTGATAGAAAACAATGTTATAAACAGTGCAAATATAAACTAATCATTCGTCTATCCACTTTTATTGTGTTATCAGATATCATTTCCCCCTTTTTAGCCCCAGAAAATGACAATCCTAATAGCCACGCAACAGCTACGCGAATACCGTGGCTGTATCGTGGCTCCTGGATTCCCAGGGGGGGTAATGAAAAATTTTCAAGTTAGAATTGTATAGATAAATTCAAAATAATATTTAGTTTAAGATAATCAATTAGGGAGATATCTCAAGCACATTGAATTATACGATATCATAAGGGCGAAATGGATATTTTCTGACCTCATTCGATTTTTTCCGGGTAAAATGGGTCTTTTCTGTACTCCTACGATTTCATGGAGGCAAAATGGGTTTTTCGTGTACTCCTCCGATTTTATGGGGGTAAAATGGATATTTACTGACTACATACGATTTCGTTGGGGCAAAATGGGTATTCTGTGAACTTTTACAATTGCATTGGGGCAAAATGGGTATTCTGTGAACTTTTACGATTTCATTGGGGTAAAATGGGTATTTACTGACCTCATATAATTTCATGGGGGCAAAATAGGTTTTTCATGAACTCATACGATTTCTTAGGGGCTAAATGGGTATTTTCTGACCTCATACGATTTGTCAGGGGTAAAATGGGTATTTTCTGCACTCCTACGATTTCATGGGGGTAAAATGGGTATTTACTGACCATATACGGTTTCATTGGGGCAAAATGGGTTTTTCTTGTATTCATACGATTTTATTGGGGTAAAATCGGTATTTTCTGACCTCATTCGATTTCTTAGAGATGAAATGGGTCTTTTCTGTACTCCTACGATTTCATGGGGGCTCCTACGATTTCAAGTGGGTTTTTCGTTCTGCGATTTCATGGGGGTAAAATGGGTATTTACTGACCACATACGATTTTATTGGGGCAAAATGCGTTTTTCGTGAAGTCATACAATTTCATAGCGGTAGAATGGGTGTTTCGTGTACTTCTACGATTCCATAGCGACAAGATGGGTATTCTGTAAATTTAATAAAAGTTGATAAAACTTAGTAAAACTCATCACTACACACATAAATTAGATATCACATGTATATCATCACGATTTGGATCACGGCTATCTTCAAAACTACACCGTGTAGAGATGTGATAATTTCATCCCTGTACTGTATACTGATCCGTTGCAACTGTGATTCATTGAGGAAATAACGGATTTAGGGGACATCCTACCAGACAGGTAAGTCTTTTATACTTTTCTTTTAATAATATCATTATAAATATTTTTCGTAATTTTCGTCTAGGTCACAATGCTTCTGTGTATTAATTATTTATTCTTTTCCAAGTCGACAATTATTATCGAAATTATTATATTCTGTTATTATTATATTCTGTTATTATTATATGAATAATTTTAATAGAAAAACGTATGGCATTACAGGACCGCCAGGGAATGGTGTCGTTATTTTGGCGGTTCTACGGAGATGTTCCTCCATATTTCCACGCTTTTCCGTGGAATCATTTCTTTTTATTTCCTACAAATAGGAACTAATACCTCGTATAAAAAATACCGCAGGGAATAGCAAATATTTACGTTTCAATTTATTCTGAGCTATTTCAGTATAACTTAGAGGTACGTTTATTGGAACCATTTACACATATTTTGTAAATGCTTCATAAATTACAGGGAAAAGATTGTATAACATTTCCTGAGGGAATTGCAAATTTCAACTTTTCAGATGATTTTCAGACATGTCAACCTATCTTTCGAATACAATTTCTTCAGAACTTTTTACGGAGAACTTCTGAACATTTTGGAAGATTTTTGAAAAAATAACTTATTAATCTTATAAAAATTTTCTTTCCGGATTGTGTATAAAACCCTATAGAATTTACGTACATGATGATCGGATATTTGTATAGGAATATTTTCTATACGATTTATTTCCATACATAAATTTTGACGTAATTTTTTGTTTTCGTACGAAAGATATGTAAACGCTCTAGAGAAAAACGTAGAGAAATGGTGCATCTCCATATGAAATGTTTATATACATGAGGCAGTGTGTCGTATATGATGAAAACTATAGAAATCGTATAGAAATAATTTGTATTCAAAATATCCGTATCAGAATATCCGAATATCATACGCAAAAATCCTATATAAATTCTATACGCAATCCATTTTACCCCCATGAAATTGTATGAGTTCACGAAAAACCCATTTTGCCCCCATGAAATCGTAAGAGGTCAGTAAATACCTATTTTACCCCAATGAAATCGTAAAAGTTAACAGAATACCCATATTGATCCAATGAAATCGTAAAAGTTCACAGAATACCCATTTTGCCCCCATGAAATTATATGAGGTCAGAAAATACCCATTTAGCCCCTAAGAAACCGTATGAGTTCACAAAAAATCCATTTTGCCCGAATTAAATCGTATGAGTACTAGAAAAACCCATTTTGGCCCAATGAAATCGNAAATACCTATTTTACCCCAATGAAATCGTAAAAGTTAACAGAATACCCATATTGATCCAATGAAATCGTAAAAGTTCACAGAATACCCATTTTGCCCCCATGAAATTATATGAGGTCAGAAAATACCCATTTAGCCCCTAAGAAACCGTATGAGTTCACAAAAAATCCATTTTGCCCGAATTAAATCGTATGAGTACTAGAAAAACCCATTTTGGCCCAATGAAATCGTGTGGTCAGTAAATACCCATTTTACCCCCATGAAATCGTAGGAGTACAGAAAAGACCCATTTCATCCCTAAGAAATCGAATGAGGTCTGAAAATACCGATTTTACCCCAATGAAATCGTATGAATACAAGAAAAACTTCATTTTGCCCCAATGAAATCGTATGTGGTCAGTAAATACCCATTTTACCCCCATGAAATCGTAGGAGTACAGAAAAGACCCATTTCATCCCTAAGAAATCGAATGAGGTCTGAAAATACCGATTTTACCCCAATGAAATCGTATGAATACAAGAAAAACTTCATTTTGCCCCAATGAAATCGTATGTGGTCAGTAAATACCCATTTTACCCCCATGAAATCGTAGGAGTACAGAAAAGACCCATTTCATCCCTAAGAAATCGAATGAGGTCTGAAAATACCGATTTTACCCCAATGAAATCGTATGAATACAAGAAAAACTTCATTTTGCCCCAATGAAATCGTATGTGGTCAGTAAATACCCATTTTACCCCCATGAAATCGTAGGAGTACAGAAAATACCCATTTTACCCCTGACAAATCGTCTGAGGTCAGAAAATACCCATTTAGCCCCTAAGAAATCGTATGAGGTCAGTAAATACCCATTTTACCCCCATGAAATCGTAGGAGTACAGAAAATACCCATTTTACCCCTGACAAATCGTCTGAGGTCAGAAAATACCCATTTAGCCCCTAAGAAATCGTATGAGGTCAGTAAATACCCATTTTACCCCCATGAAATCGTAGGAGTACAGAAAATACCCATTTTACCCCTGACAAATCGTCTGAGGTCAGAAAATACCCATTTAGCCCCTAAGAAATCGTATGAGGTCAGTAAATACCCATTTTACCCCAATGAAATCGTAAAAGTTCACAGAATACCCATTTTGCCCCCATGAAATCGTAGGAGAACAGAAAAGACCCATTTTACCCCTAACAAATCGTATGAGGTCAGGAAATACCCATTTACCCCCTAAGAAATCGTATGAGTTCACGAAAAACCCATTTTGCCTCAATGAAATCGTGAGAGTTATTCACAGAATACCCATTTTCCCCCAATGAAATTGTAGGAGTACACGAAAAACCCATTTTGCCCCCATGTAATCGTAGGAGTACAGAAAAGACCCATTTTACCTCTAAGAAATCGAATGAGGTCAGAAAATATCCATTTTGCCCCTATGATATCCTATAATTCAATGTGCTTGAGATATCTCCCTAATTGATTATCTTAAACTAAATATTATGTTGAATTTATCTATACAATTCTAACTTGAAAACTCTTCTTTACCCCAAAAACCATACTCCGTGGCGTCACGACCGGATGGCGCCCCCTTCGCATTCTCATTTGACAATTTTTCCTTACGTCTTCGAAGTCACGTGACACGGTTTACACTGATAATTTCCCCGACTGCAGGCAAATTATCAAACTGATAATTTCCCTGCAGTCTGTCAATTGCTTTCTACGAATTTGACAGATATTCCTCACATTTTGGTGAAATGTGTCCCGTAACTCCGAACACCGCACCCTGATCGGCCGAAATCAGAATTGAAGAAATTGTCCTCCGAATACCCCTCGACCTTCAAAATGATCGAATATTGAATGTCCGATGAATTTTGAAGGCCTTGGGGTATTATAGCTTTTTCCCTGTGTAAGGAGTTAGTGTGTACTATTCAGAAGTTAGTGGAAAATTCACGAAACTGTCTTCAATATACGACCGGAACACGTCCCCACGATATAATCAATATAGTTTTCCAATGCATTGCGACTGAACCTCTGCTGCTTCACCGTACACGTTCACTTCTAAAATTATTTGTAAGATACGTGACGCATTTACATTTATTCAATTGATTTTTTTTTCAGCTCGCTCAAAACAGAGGATAATTCATTTTCTGTGACAACAATCCCATCAGATAAATTAATGATCGAAACTGATAGTCCCTGGTGTGAAATTCGGCCTACTCATGCATCAGCCAAAGACGTAATTACACAGTTTCCTGCAGTTAAAAAAGAAAAATGGCAGCCCGATAAGATGGTCAAGGGGAGGAATGAACCTTCTACGATCGTGTAAGAAAATTTTATCGTTTCATTTGGAAAAGAACGCGAAATCACCGTGAAATTCACTCATCTCGTTTCATCGCTATATGACGGCTGAAATTTAAATCTTCGATTTTCTTTCTTCAGGCAAATACTTGAAGTTTTGGCACGTCTAAGGGACGAAGAGGAAGAATACCTCTGCAACCAAATATACAAAAACTCTATGAAGGTGTTTTTCCCTTACGAATTGTAACAATCCATTCCCCTCGTATTAGCATCCACTTTATCCAATTGAATTATTCCTTGAATAATCCGAAATCAACATGCTTCACATCCCGAGGAGCTGTTTAGTTTTGACAGAGAGAGAAATAAAAAAAATGATGTTACCTATCCAAAAAATCTTAAATGAAAAAAAGAACTAATTTTATATTGAAAAAAGGGAAAAGAACTGCAGGAATCTTTACCGCAACTTAATGGAGGAAAGATGATGAAGAAAAAAAATTTTATATTCTTGTTAACAATTGTCATCCCTCAGCAGTCATCGTAATAGATATAACGATAATCTGCATTTATCAGTACTATTCTCTCAATTGATGATGATGAATTGTCACAACTTTTTAATACGCCTAATGGTCATAATTTTTTTTTTGTTATGTCTGTATTTTCGCATTCCTTCAACAAACAAAAGGAGAAATTACAGGGCCTACAGTCCTTAGTGTGCACATTCCCTATAAAAAATGAGCGTTCCGGTTTTTTTCTTCTCTGAAAAAGTCGGGTAATTTGATCAGTCTGGAAAAATCAGGAAATTACGGAAAATTTCTGGAATTTCAAATTGAAAAATTTGTTATCCTTACATGTCTAAATTTTCCGAATTTCTTCTGTTTAGAAAAGATATTACCTTCAATTTAGCTACCGAAGCCGCATTTAAAAAAAACAGAAAAACATTCATTTGCAATATTGTATTTCAGACAGCAATATTATATTTGACAGTGCCTCTGTGTTTTTGTTAGGAAGTTGATGGACCGATCATTTAATAAGGGAGACGTGAGGCAACGTCAATAATGGTTCATATCAAAATATGGGAAAATTAAGAAACTCGATAGATTTTTCCCGTACACAGAGAAAAACGTACCAGAAAAATACCTGTGCTAGCGTGATAAAACATTTTGACGAAGCCGTTAGAATTCACATCTAAGCAGCGAAATTTTTGTTGTTTGCTACAGACACGTTTATCGGATTTACCGTGAAAAATTCGTGAATTTCGCTGCTAAATTTGCGGTACTGGCATGTGAATTTTTTCGGGTGTGTCAAAATGAATCTACTTTACCGTGCTCCACAGTAATTTTTCTTGCGTTTTTCTTTGGATTTATACAGTCGCATGCAAAGAGGTTATTGTACTTTATACTCATATTTTCTCTGGTGATACACTGGAAGTAGCGATAAGATCCGCCACCATTAAGACCAAAGAGGATAGACCTGAGTAGAGGCCCGGATCGGGGGGTTTGACTGACTCCAAAAATGTTAGTTGGTACCCCACGGGAAAGGCGGCGTCCCGGTCGAATTGTCGGTAAATGTGAGTCGGGTGCGTGAGTAACTCGGCAGTAGCAGTCCCGCTGCGGGACTGCTACTGCCGAGTTACTCACGCACCCGACTCACATTTACCGACAATTCGACCGGGACGCCGCCTTTCCCGTGGGGTACCAACTAACATTTTTGGAGTCAGTCAAACCCCCCGATCCGGGCCTCTACTCAGGTCTATCCTCTTTGGGCTTCATGCTAACTGAATGATTTCCAATTTGCGGTGATTTATCAACCTTACCAATGCTTTATATACCGCAATTTTCTCGTGATTTAGACTTTCTTGCTGCAAGATGTTCGTTATAATTCACAGGATAAAATTGGATATCAATTCTACATCATATATAGTAGTTAGAAAACAATTTCTTTCGATCCACTCTTCTTGTTTATCACGAGCAAAAAAGCTGAACCTAAAAATTAATTTCTTCATGATCCATTTTATATAACTGAGAATGTATACTCCATACCATTTTTCGGAATCTAACGAACAGTCTATCTGAAAAAAATATTCCAAATCGGGTGAAAATTATGAACCTAGGAACAATTTTTAGATGAAAATACTTTGATGTCACTAGGCCCGAGAAACCGCGATCCTTTAACTTCGCTTCGCTCGGTTAGATCGCAATTTTCGGGTCCAATGACATAATACATTATGTCATCAGGCGATAAAAGTATTATCTGATGAATACATTATCATCCGAGCCTGAGACGAGGATTATAATCCCATGAGTTAGATAATTTTTTCATGTCATTGGGCCCGGTAAACCGCGATGGTAACCTCGCTTAGATCGCGGTTTTCGGCCCCAATGACATAAAATATTGTATGTCACACAGCGATAAAAGTGTTAACCGCCTTTGGCTCGGATTATAAAGTCGCATTCATCAGATAATACTTTTGTCGCCTGATGACATAATGTACTATTTTTCCACTCACATCTTTACAGATATTTTTAATACTCCCAAGGAAGAAGACTGTGGACAATGTAATCTATTAAATCATCTTCATACTCGAACAATATTATTATTAATTTCTTATCTCTATGCTCTCAAAAAAGAAAATACACATTCATTTAAAAATATACAAGAACCATTAATTTTTATTTATGGCGAGGGTGGAGGGGGGGGCGGGTAAGAGGAAAGGATGGAAAAAAGAACAGTTGAGGGTTCAGAATAATAGATCTTCCATTTACTCGCCCTTATTGCATTCGCTACAATTGAATACCAGAGTGACTCAATATAATACAAAGAAAATGATAATTTATCGATATTTATTTTACTGTTTTTAGTCATTAGTTCACGGGAGTGAAAGGGGCACCATTCGAATAATACGAGATATTTCACGAGACGCTATAAATTTTTTTGTTCTTTGAAATATCACAGCTAAAATGGTTGTCGCAATGATCCCAGAGATATACATATTTAATCAATTGAACAATTAATCGTTATTCCTATAAATTCAAGTGAATGCAGAAACATAAGATAGGTTTTTGCAATGTTTTTTTGTTTTTTTCTCTTTAAATCTTCAATATTAAGATTTTTTAACGGCCTCTTGTCTCCCTCTACACCTCCATGCATACGTTTTTATCATGATTTTCTTTTGGCTGTTTACTGGACCTTTGAGAGAGTTTGAACTTTCTCGTACACCCAATCGTAGGTTTGAGTAGCGTATTCTTGAGTTGAATTAACTGCTTTCCACGCGTAACTTCTAATATTTTCTGGACTCCAGTTTCCCCTGTTAGAAATCGAAAAGAAAAATTAATGAATTCTCAGACCTCGAACTATCGAGAAAAAAAATCAAATTTTGTTGAAAATTAAATCATTTCAAAGCTTCAAGAATGCGTCAGTTAAGAGAACAATGGCGAAAATTTTTATTTATTCGAAATTTTGTCAAGTAACAAAGAGGTCTCATGGAATCGCGTCATCTAATTACATATTGTTAAGATAATTATCAAAAACGTCATATTTATACTGTCACGTTCTACTACTTCACTTCAGAGCTTATCAACTGATTTGGTCGAGGGTGAATGGGGGGGATTGTTGATGTACTTACACAAAAATCCTTGTTTCTAGCCATTGAATGAAGATCGTTGATATTTCAACGACGTAATCAGCGGCTGAAATAGAATATTTCTTGGTGTTTTCCAATAGTTCGACTGCAACTGTCTGGAATGTCTGAATCCACCCTGGGAAATACTCCTCAATCTAGAAGAAAAGCATTCATGATAAAAAGAAATGCATTGGACAGAACTTTTCACGAAAGTTTTTGTGCAGAATTTATTCTGTCAGGAATGTCACAATATGGGAGCTCGCATTTTCTATGTCAATTTCCCTCAACTTTAATAACTAAATATTCTTGTACCTGAATCTACAAGTTGAAGTCGTTGTTGAAACATTAATAGAAAATAATTGTGATGAGATTTCTCATAGATGGTACATTCTAAAGGTTTAATGATTTTTATTGCATAGAAAACAATTGCCTTTGGTGATGAAAGTATTAGAAAAAGATTTAAATAAAGAAATTTATATTGTGCGGGCTTTGTCCACATGGATAAACGTAAACAAATCTTTTATCCTAATACACAAACCGCCCGTGTCCCAATATCTGACCACTATTAATTGCTGAGTAATTGAGATGAAATATAAATGGTTTCTCTTTATTATTGACGAAAAATATAGGAAATTGAGTGACTGCGAGCACTGAGCAATCAAATTTAGGTGATCTTTGTCCACGAAATTACTCGCCCTCAGGTAAAATACACGATTAAAAATCACGTTTAATGCGAAGCATTTTACATTGTGTCTATTAAATTCAATTTTTCTACTCACGCTAGCTAAAAAAATTGGTCTTTTCAGCTCGACATAGTCGGCAGTATTATTATAGATTTTCATCACTGAGTTCCTTCCAACGAGGTAGAAATCACCAGCCAATTTAGAGTACTGCTTAGTTGAATCAGCAACAACCTTATAATACTCAGGCGATGCTGCCTCCAAGTAGATTAATCCCTGGTCGGAATAAAATTTCGTGGCTGCAAGAACTTTCTGGATGTATCTACCAGCACCACTCATCTTCACCAATCTGCCTGTGCTCGAAGCTGAATAAAAAAAATTAAACATTTACTCACAAATATAGAAGAAAACAAAATTAATGTCACAGAACTAATTGAGGATCATGTTTTCTTTTGAGTGAAAATGATGTGTCTACTGGCAAAAAAGAAATATTTGTGGAATGAATATGTAATAAGCTACATTAATCATAAAATAGGAAACTCCTGGATCGACAACTTAGGATGTAAGAGAGACACCAATTTCTATAAAGATAATTTTTGGCGAAAGCAAACCAAGTTATAGAAAAGGTACCAACTGTCGTTTTAAAAAATTATAGACATCTGTTACTATAGGATTTTTCGATCTCATATTTTTCAATATCAGTATAAATTGTCAATATTAATTTCGCAATTTTAAGAACAAAAAAGTTCATGGCAATAACAAAGTGTTGTTTGTGTTGAGTAACGCCAGTTTAATAAATTATTACAACATGAGAACAATTTCCGAAGGTTAGGCCCCAGTCTATGCTTTTTCATCCTACAGTTAATATGTAGGGGTGGGTGGGGTAAAACGGATACTTTAGACTTTTTTTAAATTATTCATAACTCAGAGACAAATTGATCAATTGAGCTCACTTTAGGCTCGCCACAAAGGGAAAGAATTGTTCTTTGTATTGAAGAAAAAATTATTGAATTTTATCAACATTTTGACCCCTCATTAACATTTTAAAAAAAGTTAAAAGTGTCCGTTTTACCCCAACCTCCCCTATAACCATTTCACTTTCTGCTTTGAATTCCGGGGCCTTTCTCAAAAATTGTGAAAAGTCACACGTTTTGTTTCCCTAGTATTAAAATGGAATGAGTCAGTTTTACCTTCGAAAGAGCCATGGTTCCGGCAATCATAGGCAATAACAGCACCAATGAGAAGGAGAAGCAACAACGAACCTTTTTTCCATGGGAAACTACGTTGTATCTTTGATGACGCCGTCATTTTGCGTAACAAATCCTTAAATTCAACGGAGGATCAGATAATGCATTATTTTATTGTCCACTTACTAAATTATGTGTGGACGTCCGCATGAAAAGGGACTACTTTGTCAATATGGAATTATGCATACTCTGATAATATGGATAACACTCTGCACATTTTGATCCTCATAGGGTAAAAAATGACGTCGCCAGAGAAGTTGAAAAAAACAACCCTGGTAAAACAGTCTGATTATGTCCGACTGGGTGATAAAAAATGAATCGGCGTTAATGATGTTTCTGTCTTTGCGCGTTAAATTCCGATTGGCTGGTAGGTAGAGTTTGGAGTTTGAGAAAATTATGAGAATTAATAGGATCAAGGGTATGTAGCCGTTATCGTCCGATTACTTTCCAAAAAAGTGGTTGATAGATCTCATATTGCTCATATAAATATTTAATATATATTGCTCATTTAAATATTTATATGCGTAATATGAGATCTATCAACCACTCTTTTGGAAAGTAATCGGACGATAACGGCCACATACCCTTGTTCCCATTAATTTTCATAATTTTCTCAAACTCCAAACTCTACCTTCCAGCCAATCGGAATTTAACGGGCAAAGACAGAAACATCAATAACGCCGATTCATTTTTTATCACCCAGTCGGAAATAATCGGACTGTTTTAGCAGGGAATTTAACATGGGTGTAAATGGAAGTTGCTGAGACAAAAACGTGAATATCTTGAAACCTAGAATCGACAAAGTTGTCCCTTTTCATGCAGACGTCCACATATAAACATGAGTTTTTCATCGCTGAAACTTCCAAATCTACGCAGACAAGGAGCAGTTTTTGAAGTAGTAATAATATTCACAATAATAGGGCTGAAAATTTGTCGTTACAATCACCTTTCATTAACCCACCTTGGATAGTTTGTTTTTGTTCAATAAGCTGGCCCCTTTGGATACTCCAATGAATGTTTTATTTCAATTATACTCAACGGCAAATTATAATGGGAGGAAAGAAAAAGGTAAACTCCGTGCCGTATCGTCACTGGCACATCAAAATTATACGGGAGGCAGGAGAGCAACGTGCGGATCGATATTCTGTTCCTCCCTTTTGCCCCTTTTCGCACTCTGATGTTCTAACCTAACCTAAATTGAAACTTCCCACATTCAATTATTTACCCCCACCACGATTTGACAGAACTTTGGGGTATAACATCATGACAGGAAGCTAAAGTGGTTCTGGATTGTAGGTTTCGGTTCCTATGCGCCCACCATTATATTATATGGAACCCAAAGACTAGAATCTCGCCAGTACGCCTGTATATGCATAGCTTAGAGCCAGAGGCGTAAAAACTATGCTTCAACACTCTTTATGCTCCGTTGATTCTATGAGGACGATATGTAGGCGTGTGACAATCGATTTTTTTCTACTTTCATTTAAACCGTCAGCACTCGTGCCATTTCACAGAGAATCTTTACTCGCATTGTGAGAGAATCTCTGGCGCATTGCGCGCAAATTAGTTAGACAGCGAGGTCCGAGCTATCCATGGGACTATTAGCTTAGTTGCCGAGTATTACTGAACGCCTCACGGAACCGCGCGATGCGAGCGAACCTCGAAATATCTCGAATAAGCGTACCATAAGGTATGATCAAAGAGGATTGACTAAAGTCATGAAGAATAGAGACCAGGAGGCCGAACTAACGTTTTCCGAAGCAAGACCATAGTCGGGGTCATGAGGTAGTTATTGGTGGCGCTTCGGTCGGTTTACTGAATGGCAGTAGTGGGGGAATGCTGTCTGTGTGAGTATGTAGGTGTACAGGCTTGTGTATATTAAATTAAAAAATTAATTGTGTGTAACATTTAAGAATTAATTGTGTATACGAATTTTGTACTTTCGCGAACAATGGAGGACGTAACTATAGAGTGTGCCATTTAGTTTTGTTGATTTACATAATAATGTGTAAATGGTCAAGAGACCCCCAATTGGGCAGCAGTCAAATATGACGAATGTGTATTATTTTTGGAAATCTTGGAAAATGGGGAAGAAAGAAAGAAAATTGTCATAGACGATTCTCTCAATGCAACAATTTTATATAACAGCGAAGTCATATCCTGGTTAATATGTGATAGAATAAAATCTCACAATCACCTGGCTACCGTCATAGAATTACTAAATAAATTGAGATTTTTATAAATCACTTTGTTTGCAAAATTGTATAATTTGAAGCATGCAATGTGTGTAATAAAGGAATATTTTTAATCAGAAAATGCTGGTAATTAATTTTTTTTAATGATTATATTATAACATTACTATGATAATCTTAGGTTTGGAATTTTTAAATAACATTTGATAACAAATCGAATCCAGGGATGTAGTCTCCTACTAATGCAATTGTACGGAGTATGTATATGAGCCCGAGTACCACTGATGAAGCGCCCCCATTCACCACGAGGTAATTAGTTCAAGGAACCACGTTTCCTTATATATAAAGGAAAGCATAATGGCTGCCGAATGAAAACTCGAATTGAAGAATGTCGAATCGATTCACCGAAAGTCGAAGTCGAACGGACGTGTTCGATCATGAACGTATGAAACAGAAATAGAGTGTCGTTCGAATAAATTGCCACATGATGTTATCTTCAGAGTCATTGCGGCGGATGAAAGACGCATTCTCATGAGAACTTTCATGAGAATGAGTAATTCGGCCGCGACAGTGCTATTTACGAAAGCGCGCCAGAATTACAAATCGGATTTCTAACCTCGAATAAGAAACTAACACCGTGTATACATTAAATACATCAGTGCATATTTTCTATAATACACGCATTTGTTTATAATTAGTGGAATGCGAAATGATTTTTTGGTGATAAAAGTTAAGAGCTGACAAGATTAAATTATAGATGATTAATGAACTTGAATGTCGAAAATGGATTGAAAAAAAAATAGAAAATCTAAAAATATTCAATTTTAAATTTTTCATTTGATTTTGGTTATTCGATGGTTTGTTTAATGCAATCAATACTTATATCACAAAATCAAATAATATTGATTTTTTTGCCATGGAATTAATTTTTGGTGAAATTCTGAAAATGGAAGAATTCGTTATAATTCAGGAATAGTACATTACATGCCCGAGCCTTGGAAAACAGATCACCGTCCTCCACGTGCAAGATTGCCTTACACGTCGAAGGCGAGGATGGGGTTTTTCAGGTCCCGTTACACGAAAAAAATTATTCTTTGAGTGAAACATTGATGCTATTGGATTATTTATATAAAAAACGGTTGTGGTCTCCGAAAATTGTGATTTTCCAATCATTTCATTAATGTATTTCAGAAAGTCGACTTCATTTTTCCTTATCAATTATACTGTTGAAAAAAATTGAAATTCATGGATAGTTCAGTGGTAATTATTAGGAGCAAGACATTTAATTTAATTTGAGAGAGGAAAGTCATGAAATTTAAAAATTCACTGAAAATTTAATGGAATTCAACATTTCGTAACAGTATGAAAGTAAAAAGTTGCTTGAATTTTCATTTAAAACGTGAATATTCTGCACCGAATTACTTACTCTGTATTTTCGATTGAGAAACCAATTATAATTGTTCTAATCATTTAGGTCGGGCGCAATAGAATGATTCAACTTTCTTAATGTTGCGTTTACTAAGGTTTCCTCCAAAGTTAATTAGAATCAATAACTAGAATTATGACTTTATATATGACATTTTTTACATGAAGTGCTGAAGAATCTGAATGCACTACAGTGCAAACGATGATAGACTTTTTCACGTTGAACAAAGAATAATAATAATATAGGAATAAAAAAATTGAGTTATGAATGAACAGCTGTGACTCAATATTCCATAACAGTAGAGAACAGGAATGATGATATTTTCATAATATCTGACACATTAACATGAATTTCAGATTCACAAAAAAGAATTCAGCAGAAGTCAAATTGTCATTTTACGTTTTAATTTCCAATTTGATGCTGAAAACATGAGGTGACAATATTCTAAATGGGGAATTATGTTGATGATATGAACAATAGATTAATTGAATTACCGAGTGAACTGATTGAAAAATTGTATCACGGTGTTGGCAAGCACTTTTACCAGAGTATCACCAAACATTGAATTTCGGCAATTTACTCTTCGAATTATGTTCGAGTAGAAATTGGATTGTAATTATGATTGAAATCTTATTCAGTGAGCAGAGGAATTAGCATATGCGCAGATTATTCATTGCAATATAAATATTTCATAGTTAATAAATTGAGGCACATCATTTTCATCAGTCGCACTGCTTTTTGCAATGACAATGATTATGAACAATGAATGGAAGAAAGGAATTCTGAGTCCGACGGGAATTGTGTTATAAATATGGTAAGAGAGCCCTTCAGCTTGACTAAGATAGTAATCAAAAGTCGAAATTATTGAAACTGATAATATGAAAATTTTAGAGTAGGTTTTATCTTTTATGTGAGCACTCATCAAGAGATTGTTAGAAATTAATAAATACGTGTTTCAGCCTCGTTACAAAATCCATCTCTAAGGGGGTGAATAGGGAATGAATTATAGAAACTTTGAGGAAGGCTGCAGGTTTCCAAAAAAATCAGAACTGTCAATTTTTTCCCCAAATGTAAGATAATTCGGGAGTTTTCCAAAAATTCAAGACAATTATGAGGTTTTCTGAAGAACTTAAAGACAATCTATGGAGTTTTTGAAAATTACAAAGCATTTACAATATCTCTCAAATATTCGAGGATTGTTGAATAAATAATGGGAAAACAATTGATAGGAAAGGGCGGCATTTCGCAAATAAAACTGATTCGAAGCAGTCATGAAAGCCCGAATACTGCACTCTGATTAATTGAAATACGAAAGGAGGAAATAATTTGGTAATTCTTCGGATTTTCTCCACAATTCCACAAAAATTTTCAAGTTTCTTGAAAAAAAGTCATATAAATTTCGAAAGATTATAGAAAATTTGAAAAAATTTCAGATGATTAGATGATGAAAGTTTGAAGTTTATGACATCGTCGAATAAAATTGTGAAAAAAATCATGAATGAAGCGAAGACATTTCGAATTAGCGAAAGAACATCAGAATTGACCCCATAATTTTTCTGGAAAAATAATTGAATACTTTTGTCAAGTTGTAAACGGAAATAAAGAGGGAGGCGAAGACAAAAAAATTATGGACTGTGAGAAATTTGATAATTGTTGTTTTGCACTCTGAATATAATTTTGATTACAATATAGTAATTAAAATTTCATTCAATGAGGAAGGAAACTCAGAATTAGTGGATCACTTATTATAATAATGAAATTGAACAAGCAATGAATCGAGACGCATTGTTTTCATTAACTTTAACTCTCAATAGACTAAAACGACGATAAATCATTAATTTTCGAAAGAAACAAAAAAAGCAAAGGCATAATAGCCAAAAATAGTTCGACCCCAACGGAGGGATGGCGCCACCGTCGAATCTGACGGCTGGGCGAACTCCCCAAAGAGGATTGACTAAAGTAGAGGCTCAGATCTCGGGGTTGGACTGACCCCAAGCCGAAAGTAGTTCGACCCCAATGGAGGGATGCCGCCACGGTCGAATCTGACGGCTNTCATCACAGCTCATCTCATCATCCGACAAATTCATCATGTGGACAATTCATCACGCGAACATTTCATCACACGGACAATTCAATAAGGAGCGAAAAAGAGATTCTAAATTATAGACTAATGGAGGGGAAAGAGGGGGAAAATGGAAATAAGTACTGATAAGAGAGGAGAAAAAATAGAAGTTCGAACGGAAAGTATAGAGAGCGTATAAGAGAAAACTCAAACTAAACTTAACTTAAATTAAACTCATAATACTTATTGTTAAAATACTCATTCAATGATCGATCAAGTGCCTTCCAATAATAAATAAAAAAAAACAAATAACTGTTGATATTAAAAATCATGATTACTACTAATTTTACGTTGCCACAACAATGAGAATAACGCCAATGATAGAGAGGTCTACAACATAAAAAGATACTAAAAATAAAGAAGAATAATTATATTTAGCAAAAAAAGGAAAAACGACAAACGAAAAATGATGAAATGTCCACATAATAAATTGTCCCAATGATGAATTGTCCCTATAACAAATTATCAATAATGGCATGTCCCCATAATGAAAATTAATGATGAATTGTCCAATAACATCACTATCCCGTAATAAGGAGAGCTGTTACCCCTTGAGTCTCCCACCACTAGCTATGATTTCACTGGAGGGAACGTTATGAACTTTATATTTTAAGTCAAAATAATTAGCCCCGTATGAAATTACATGTACAATGCGGAGAAAAATAAAAAAATGCAAATATACTCATGGTTTTTCATGTACTATTTCTTTAATAGTCAATGGCCCGCTCACTCTTTCATTAATGGGGTGATTTTTATCTTATAATAGGTGTATTCTTTCTTTTTTTACTGAGAATAATTACCAAGATTGAGAGTGAAATCACTGCTCAATTTAATAGCATTAAAAATAAAATGAAATTGCATTTTTGTCCAATGTTGAACAATATTTATTTTTCGCGCGAAAATATCTCGCGAATGTTGTTTGTTTATGGCTGCTCCAAAACGTACTCCAATAGATCTGAACAGTCTGTGCGAGTTGATTCATGCAAAATGGTTAAATCGTGTGCGATTATAAA